GAAGTATTGTATTTACGAGGGATACCCAGGAAAGATTGACACCGAAACCATAACAATGTATAGTAAGCCATGAAAGTGCCACAAGGTCAGTGAACATGTGCGCATAAACACATTGTGAGTCCTAATAGTTTGAATAAGTGCCTTTCTTGTATTTTCAAAAATATTATAGTCAAACTAATTATTTATGATATTTATTCTGAAATATACGACATTCCATTTTGGGTACTCAGGAATTAGTTTTATGATGTTTGTTTTGATATAACACTGAAATGTGAATTTGCTTAACTCTAACATTTATAGTAGTTTTTGGTAGTTGTAAAATTCCAAAGGCCAAATTGACTCCGTATATTGTAAGTTTTATTTAGCAATATTTTAAGTTGACGTCATCAGTATCTTGAAGTGAATTTTGGTCCAACAAATCCCGTTTCTTTGAAAAATTATAAAAAATTGTTTTCTATTTTTTTTTCTCATAACCTCTATGAAGTAGAAACCAGTGACACAAATACCACTCCCGCATTTTTTAGACTTTTTATTTCTTTATTTTTTTCAATTTTTCGTTGTTTTTTGTTTCTGCAATTTTTAATTTTTCAACTTTTGATTCTTTAATTTTTAATTTCTTCAAATTTTGGATGTGCAATTTTTGGATTTTTTATTTTCTTTATTTTTACAATGTTTATTATTAATTTTCATTTCATTTATTTTTTCAGTTTCAATTTTTTTTTAATTATGTAGTTTCTTTAATTTTTAGATTTGCAATTTCAGGAGTTTTTAATTTTTCGATTTTACGGTTTTATAATCTTTCGATTCGATCCGTTTTTTCTACTTTCCAATTTTTCGATTTATTAATTTTTTCCAATTTTCAAGTTTATCGATTTTTAGTTTTCCACTGCTTCAAAAACATCGAGAAATCGAAACATCAAAAGATCAAGAAATCGAAAAATTGTGAATTCGAAATAGGGCAAAATCAAAATGTTAAAAATTTAAAAATATAAAATCGAAATATCGAAATCTCAATATATCGAGAAATTGAAAAACTGAAAAATTAAAAAATTTAAAAACCGAAAAATCTAAAACGGAGGAGTCGAAAAATCGGAAGATCGGGCCACAATTTAAAAATTCGAAAAATTGAAATATCGAAGAACTGAAAAAATGAAAAATCAAGCAAACGAAAAATCTGAAATTTAAAAAATTGAAAAATTATATCATGTATCGAAAAATCGGGAAATCAGAGCAAAGAATCGAAAAGATAAAAGATTCGGTAATCGAAAAATTGAAGAAAAATTGACGATTCTAAAAATTGAAAAATCCAAAAATGAAACATGGAAAAAATTGAAAAATCGAGATATTGAAAAGTCGTAAAATCAAGGTCGAAAAACTGAAAAATCAAAAGCCTGAAAAATTGAAAAATCGAAATACATATTGAAAAATCCCAAAACTGAAATATCGAAAAAATTAAAAAAGGAAGATAAATTGAAGAATCGAAAAATATAACAATTTCTTAATTTTTCGATTTTTCTTGTTTCCAATTTTTCGATACATTAATTTTTTTTCAATTTTCAAGTTTCTCGATTTTTAGTTTTCCACTGCATCAAAAACTGAAACGTGGAGAAATCGAAATAGGCCAAAATCGAAAATTCAGAAAGTTAGTAATTGAAAAATATAAAATTAAACACAATAAATGGAGAAATCGCGGAATTGAAAAATCGAAAAATTTAAAAACTGAAATATTTAAAAATGGAAAAACTGAAAAATCAAGAAAACGAAAAATCTAAAATTTAAAAAATTGAAAAATTATAATGTGTAGCGAAAAATCGAGAAATCAGATCAAAGAATCGGAAAAATAAAAAATTTGGTAATCGAAAAATTGAAGAAAAATTGACGAATCTAAAAATTGAAAAATCCAAAAATGGAACATGAAAAATTTGAAAAATCGAGAAATTGAAAGGTCGTAAAATCAAGTTGAAAAACTGAAAAATCAAAAGCCTAAAAATTGAAGAATTGAAAAATTGTAACATCGAAAAAGTAAAAAATCGGGAAATCGAAAAATTCCAAAACTGAAATATTGAAAAAATTAAAAAGTGGAAGATAAATTGAACAATCTAAAAATTGAAAAATTCCATAATTTTTCGATTTTACAATTTTTCGATTCGATCCGTTTTTTCTTCTTTTCAATTTTTCGATTTATTAAATTTTTTAAATTTCCAAATTTCTCGATTTTAGGTTTTCCACTGCTTCAAAAGTTGAAATATCGAGAAATCGAAACTTCAAAAGATCGAGAAAACGAAAAGTTGGAAAAATGAGAAATCGAAATAGGTCAAAATCGAAAAATCAAAAACTTAAAAATTGAAAAACATAAAATTAAAAATAAAAAATGGAAAAATCGCGAAATTGAACAATCAAAAAATCGAAACATCGTAATCTTAATAAATCGAGAATTCAAAAAATTGAAAAATCGAAAAATTTAAAAACCGAAATATTGAAAAATCGAAAAATTGACAAACGGAAAAATCTAAAACCGAGAAGTTGTAAAATTCAAGGATCGAGAAATCCAAAATTTAAAAATTCGAAAGATTAAATATCGAGGAACTGAAAAATCGAAAAATCAAGAAAACGAAAAATTAAAAAAATTGGAAAATTATAATATGTAGCGAAAAATCGAGAAATCAGATCAAAAAATTAAAAAAACAAAAAAGTAGGTAATCGAAAAATTGAAAAAAAATTTGACGAATTAAAAAATTGAAAAATCCAAAAGTGAAACATGGAAAAATTGAAAAATCGAGAAACTGAAAAGTCGTAAAATCAAGGTCGAAAAATTGAAAAATCAAAAAACTGAACAATTGAAAAATTGAAAAAGTAAAAAATCGGGAAATCGAAATTCCAAAGCTGAAATATCGAAAAAATTTAAAAATCTGGAAATCGAAAAATCTAAAAGTCGGAAAATTGTAATCGTAATATATATTGAAAAATCCCAAAACTGATATACATATCGAAAAATTAAAAAATGAAAGATGCATTGAAGAATCGAAAAATTGAAAAATCGAGAAATCGAAAATTTGAAGAATCAAAAAACTGAAAAACCGAGAAATCTAGAACCGAGAAGTCGAAAAATCGAAAGGTGGAGAAATCGAAAAATAAAAAACCTGAACAATCGAAAATTGAAATATCGAAGAACTGAAATATCAAAAAATCAAGAAAATAAAAAATCTAAAATTTTAAACATTCAAAAATTAAAATATCGAAAAATGAAGAAATCAGATCAAAAAATCGAAAAAGTAAAAAATCCGGAAGAAAAATTGACGAATCTAAAAATTGAAAAATCCAAAACTGAAACATGGAAAAACTGAGAAATCGAGAAATCGAAAAGTCGTAAAATCAAGGTCGAAAAATTGAAAAATCGAAAAAGTAAAAAATCGGGAAATCGAAGAGTCGAAAAATTGAAAATCGAAATATACATATATTGAAAAATCCCAATACTGCAATATCGAAAAAATTTAAAAATACGAGATACATTAAAGAATACAAAATTGAAAAATTCCAAAATTTTTCGATTGGATTGGATCCGCTTTTTCTTCTTTCCAATTTTTCAATTCTTTTTTTTTTCAATTTTCAAGTTTTTCGATTTTTAGTTTTCCGCTGTTTCAATCCTTCATTTCTCCATTGATCAATGAAAAAATGAAGAAAATGAAAAAACGAAACAATTGTGATACCAAAAATGCCAAAATATAGAGGATTTATTCGGTAAAACTTTTGAGATACGTCAACAATTTTTTGAAAGGGGATAAACGAATAACTTTTGATTAACGATTTACCATGATTACGATAATCTTAAAACATTTGCAAGATTTCAGAGCATTCGGTTTTGCAGTTTCGAAGTTAAATTGCAACATAATCTTATACAATTTAGATTTTTTTCCCAAAAATTTGGATGTGTAGGGTAAAACTGAATACGGTTTCATAAACCACATGCAAAGAAGTATCTTATCTTATAAAATTGGAATAATATTTATTTTATTTCGGAGTTTATCTGTGTAATAAAAATTCAGACGGCAGGCAGATAGAGAGACGGAAACGGAAGACCTATTTTTTCGTACTCTCGGGGTCATGAAACGTCTAATGGACTTGATTACAATACTTCCTTAACTTACGCTCAGGAAGTAAAAGTTAATGCAAATTTTACACACTTTAAACATTTTCCAAAGCCAAAAACAACATTACGTTGAATTTTTAATTTTATTTTGACAATTGAAAATTGCCCTTCCCCACTTTTCCCTGATGTTATCTAAACTCTAAAACACTCCGTTCCAACAGCTGCTCTAATTAATTCCGAATTGCTGTCACCTCAAACGAACAACTTCCCTCCAAAAATACGTCATTGACTTAAAATCAATAATTTAAAGCACACTCAAAAAATCGTAAATCAACTCAATCCTAAACCTCCCCTGCAAACGCGTCTCCCCCATTATTTGAATTTCATATAAATCCGAATATAAAATAAATCTCGAGAAGATGAAACTCGTAATTTGTAGACAATTTTATTTTGAAAGCTTATTTCCCTAGCGACATCTTGTCCAAACATTCTTTATGCAAATATACATTCGTTTTAGTTGGCGGGAAATGTGCAAGGAGCGTAAATTCACCATCAGAATAAGCCGTTTTTCACCTATCTGCTCAAATCTAATCACAATTCTATGTTAATGAAACCATATAAATTATGCCGAATGCTAACGCAACTCCAGCTACCCCAATTTTATTGTTCGAGCTTCGTTGAACAAGGGTTGCCATTATTTAGAGAAATAACCCGAATCCTGGAGTAGTTATTGTGTAAATAGATCCCTACTAATTTATTCAAAATGTTACACCCTCCAGTGGAGTGGGAATTGCAAAAGCACCAAAAAATATACGCCCGAAAACGGACCCTTGAACTGCTCCATTTTTGTCACGTTCGAGTCTTAAACCAGACCAATTGTTTGTTCTTTGCTTTACATTGTTTGCTTTTCCAGATCGTCGGCGATCCCCCACAAGGGCGGCAGCAGCATTCCTCTGCCCGGTTCCGCTCTGCCGTCGCGACGATGTCCTCCAGACAAGGTCCGTCCCGTCGCGGGCTCCAGCAGGGCCAGCAGTCCGGCCCTGTCGATGATCCCTCGAGGGCCGCCCTCGAGCCAGATCTCCAGCCCTTACCAGGCCAACTCCCAGCCCAAAAACTCCAACTCCATGCTGGACAAGCTCAAGTTGTTCAAATCGAACGACAGACCTGCCCCGCCCACTAACGGAAAACGGACCAGCAGTTCCAGTGGCGTATCGTCGGCGAGGAGCGAACGCAGTGACAGCAGTGCGAGTCTAGAACCCAGCACGGACGTCAAACCCGTGCGCAATGCCTCCAGGTACACTAACAGTGCGTAAAGTGGCGGATTTCGCACGACTGAAGTGCGTTTTGTTTCCAGGTTGAAGCAAACGCGGCCGGCTAAGGCGGTACCGGCGAAGAACAGTCCCAGTTCGACGAAGAAGGACGTTGTGGTCAACAAAGCGACGAAAATAGCGGCAGAAGTGGAGAAGCACGCTCATAAGGTGGCGAGTTTGCCGACGTCGAAGCTGTCCGAACCCAAAATAAAATCGGCGGGCAATAAAACGGAGGCCGGTAATAAAAATGTGCAAGGTCAGAACCACTTACCCACGCAGAACCAGCACGGTACCGGTATTCCGAAGCCCACGGCGGCAGTCAAAGGTACCAAATCTACTTTACGCCTACCGAAACCTGTTTATCAATCATCGGTTGAAAATTATGATTACTGGTCGCACCAGATTGAAATTAATAGGGGATTAAGAATGTTGGAACAAGATAATTATCGGCGGCGCTGTGTGTGACGGGACGTAAAAGATAATGTATTGGCTTTCGTGCCTTGGCTGAAACTGTGCAGATTTCGGGACCCTATTTTTTTCGAATTTTTTAGTTTTCAGCGGCTGTTTTGGTCGTTTGAAAAATTTTACTTCCCGAGCATAAGCGAATTTCATCAACAATTAGATGAAGCCAACTCACAATTTTACTAACCAAAACTCAAGGCGGATTCATAAACCACAAATGGCCTTTACTATTGTAATATTGCCTGAAGTTCATAATATAATAATGTTGTCATTGGTAAACAATATTAAGAGTGGTCACTAGAATCAAGTGGGCGGGGCTATTACTTGCTTATAAGACTCTGTAGAAATTTGCGGTATTTTGCATTTTCGAGTTTTCGGTTTTTCCGTTTTTCGATTTGTTGATTTTTCTGTTGGTCAGTTTTTAGACTTTGCTGCAACTTTTTTGCATTTTTCGATTATATTTTACTTTCCGATTTTTTTGATTTTTGAATTTTCGATTTTACGTTTTTAATTCTTCGATTTCCGATTTTGCAATTTTCCGGTTTTTTAATTCTTCTATTCTCGATTTTTCGATTTTCCATTAATCATTAAATTTTTCGATTTTTCGGTTTTTTTATTTTTCGACCTTCAATTTTTCAATTTTCGAGTATTCGATTTTCCATTTTCTGATTTTACGATTTTTCGATTTGCGATTTTTCGATTTTCGTTTTTCCGATTTTGTGGTTTTTCGATTTTTCTGTTTGTTTCAGTTTTTATGGTTCTGCGATTTGTTTTATTTTTTCATTTTTCGATTATTTTACTTTCCGATAGTTTGATTTTTGAATTTTTAGTTTTTTCATTTTTCGATTTGGGATTTTTCAATTTTTCGGTTTTTTAATTTTTCGAGTGTCGATATTTCGATTTTCGATTTTTCAGATTTGTGGATTTGTGTCCGTTTTTTCGATTTTTAGAATTTTGATTAATCGAATTTTCGATTTTTGAGCATTTCGATTTTTCCATTTTTAGATATTTTTCGATTTTTTTTAATTTTTCGATTTTTCTGTTCGTCAGTTTTAGACTTTGCAATTTTTACTTTTCCACTTTTCTATTATTTTAGTTTCGGATTATTCGATTTTTGAATTTTCGTTTTTTTTTTTCATTTTACGATTTCCGATTTTTTAATTTTTTGATTTTTCGGTTTTTTACTTTGTCGATTCTCGATATTTCGATTTTCCAATCTCCGATTTTTCAATTTCTAGTTTTCGATTTTCCACTTTACGATTTTACGAGTTTTCGATTTTTCTGTTCGTCACTTTTTAGGCTTTGAAATTTGTTTACTTTTCGATTTTTGAATTGTCGACTTTTAGAGTTTTCAATATTATGAATTTTCGAATTTTCTGTTTTCCTATTTTTCGATTTTTGAATTTTCCATTTTTCGGTTTTTTGATTTTTCAATTTTCGGTTTTTCAATCTTGCAAATTTCCGATTTTTCAGATTTGTGAATTTCCGGTTTTTCGATCGACGTACGTATTATATTCATTGAATTTTCGATTTTCGGTTTTTGCATTTTTAGATATTCGATTTTTCAGTTTTGTGTTTTCAGATTTTCTGTTTTTCGCATATCTGATTCATCAAATTTTCGATTTTTCGGCTTTTCGATTTTTCGATATTTGATTTTCGAATCTTCGATTGTTCAGTTTTCCATTCTTCAGCTTTTAGACTTCAATTTTTTTAATTTTCGATTTTCCGAATTTTCGAGTTTCAATTTTCAGATTTTTGATTTTTCGATTTTCCTTTTTAAATCTTTGAACTTTTCGGTTTTGATTTTTCGAATTTTTGATTTTTAATTTTTCCATTCTTCGGTTTTTAGACTTCAATTTTCTTTCTTTTAAATTTTTCGATATTCTATTTTCCGCTTTTCAGAATTTTCGATTTTCAGTTTTCAGACTTTCGACCATTAGAATTTTGGATATTTCGGTTTTATGATTTTTCGATTTTTAGAAAATTTGAGTAGTCGAATTTTCGATTTTTCAATTCATCGATTTTTCTATGTTCAATTTTGCGATTTTCAATTTGTCCATTGTGGATTTTTAGAATTTTCGGTTTTTCAATTTTTCCATTCTCACCTTTTAGACTTCAATTTTGTTTCTTTCCGATTTTTTGGTTTTCGATTTTCCAAGTTTCCAGAATTTCCAAGATTCTTTATTCAGATTTTCGATTTTCCACTTTTGCGATTTTAGATTTTTCGAATTTTTGTTTTTCCAATTTTTTGCTTTTTCGATTTTTCTGTTCGTTTCAGTTTTTTTAGGCTTTGCAATTTTTTCTACTTTATATATTTTGATTATTTTAATTTCAGATTTTTTTTAATTTTTGTTTTTGATTTTTTTAATTTTGAGTATTACAAATTTTTGACTTTTCGATTTTTTCGTTTTTCCGTTTTTCAATTTTCGATTTTTCGATTTTTGAGGTTTGTGAATTTCCACTTTTCGATCGACCTCGGTATTTGATTCATTGAATTTTCGATTTTTTGGTTATCCATTTTTAGATTTTCGATTTTTACGATTTGTATTTTTCGATTTTCTGTTTTTTGCATTAGTGAATTTCAGTTTTTCCGATTTTCGATTTGCCGCATATTTTATTAATCAAATTTTTGAAAAAACAAACAAAAACTTTAAAACATCTACAATATTTCAAAGTATTCAGTTTTGCTATTCTTGATTTCTTCAATAAAACAAATTGATTCAGTCATTAACTTTTTTGAGACACCCTGTATAACCAAATCTAAAAAAAATATTAATGCAGTGATAAATCACAAGTATAAAAACTCATCATATTTTATACATTTAAGATAGGATTTATTCTGCAAAATTTTGAGGTGACGTCATAAATTTTTTAGAGGGGATAAGCAAATATATTTTAATAAAAAATGTATCATGTTTATCATGACTTTAAAACATCTGCAAGATTTCAAAGTATTCGATTTTGCAAATTCAAAATTAAATTGCAAAATATTGTTTTATAATTTTGATTTTTTTTTCCAAAAATCTGGACGTTTCGGATAAAAATTCAACGCGGAGTCATAAACTACATGTGTAGGACTATGTTACTGTATACAATTTAAAATCCATTTACTATGCATAAATTTGAAGTGACGTCATCACATTATTGGTGGGGATGATTAGACAAATTTAATAATTTTGCGACATTTATGAAAAAAATATCAGTTAACAAAAATGGCACGTTTTTATTATTGTGCCAGTTACATGTCACTCAACGATAATATCGTTTTTTTTTATTTATTTATTATGAACATTTAAAAGTATTTTATTTGAAAAAGTGATGAAATTTTTTATACGGAACAATTGGTCGAAAGATGTTAGAAAGCAAAATAATTCCTGTCCGGACCATCGTTACTCACGAACGAAAGTGACCATTATTTTATGGGAACAACTACCTGCGACAAATTCGAGAGAACTGGTGTGAGCCATAAATATTTCTTACCAAATGTAACTACTGTCCGTCCCGTTTTTGTCAATAAAATTTTATAGAGTAAAATGTAAATTCCGTTGTAGTTTGAGCCTACCTACAAATTCTGCCCTTGAAGGATTTGGACCGCCTTCTTCGGTGAGGGCAGGCAAAAACGATCCGCCCATAGGCTCAAAACATTTGCGTGCGTACAACTGTAACCGCCCCAATTTTCCGGCCAATGACATGATTTTTTAAGGTGGAGCTTGTACAAGTGGGAGGATCATCAGTAATACAGCGTTTTAAATATAATTATTGCGTCTGGTATATTTATTTAACACTAGCCGAATATTTTTAGATATCTTATTTACAATTTATCTATTTACTCAGAAACAGTTTAACAGAATCATCCGAAATTCAATAATATAATAATGTTGTCATTAGCTAACAATATTAACAATGGCCACTAAAATCAAGAGAAGGGTGGGTGGGCGGGGCTATTACCTACTTGCTTAGAAGACTGTAGAAAAAAGCTAAACTTAGCTCCGCCCACTCCTTTTCTCTATTTCACTGACTTATTTTATTTGCTGTTAAAAGGGTTTGAATTTTGATTTGACAAGCGGTAGAATTGACTCACATTTATCCCAAAATAAAGCACCAAGGGACTTACAATTAACTGCGAACATTTTATTCATTTAGTTCCCTTGAGATTTTTTCGAATAACAATCACTTTTTAGTGATAGGTGATTTCAATACTCCTAATTATGCAAGCAGCTATAGTGACAGTTTTACTGAGAATAAATATTTTTAAAACATTCCATGGTTTCTCCCAGTGCAATTCAATTATTATTAATTGTAACAATCATCTTCTGGACTTAGTTTTTGCCAATCTTAATTACTGTTCGGTTGATAAAACCGTCTCTTCATTAGTGGAGGAAGATGTACATCATTCTTCTCTGTCTATGAATTTGAACAAAATCAGTCTTATCTTAACAGGTACTAGCCCCGCCCACCCACCCTCTCTTTCTTTAAACGGTATCTCATTTGCCAAATTCAGTCATATCTTAGCAACTTATTAATAATTAAGACTAGATTTTTTTAATAAAATTTTGATTTTTATTCCAAAAACGACTTTGCCCTCAACGTTTACATAGAAATATTTTAAAATCATATGAAGAATTCACAATGGAGTACAATTATAAATCTCGCCCCTCTTCTCCGAGCCAATGAAATGAGATTATTAATGTGGAGCTTGTGTTTGTGGGAGGGGCATCAATAGATTTCTAAGATACTTTATCTACAATTTACTTATTTGTTTTTTCAGTTGAACAGAATTGCCTGAAGTTCATAATATAATAATGTTGTCATTGGTAAACAATATTAAGAGTGGTCACTAGAATCAAGTGGGCGGGGCTATTACTTGCTTATGAGACTCTGTAGAAAAGGTAAACTTAGCTCCGCCCACCTCCTGTCTCTGACTTATTTTATTTAGTGTGTAAAGGAATTGAATTTTGATTTGACAAGCAGCATAAAACTAATGATTTAAATTTAAGACAATAGTGACTCCACCCACCCACCCCTACTCCATTTTGATCATTCATTTAACTGGCTCTGAGACGAAAGTTTTATATTAACAAAGTATTGGATTTTGGGGGTAGTTTTTTTATGAAATATTGATATAAAAACTATATAAAACAGACACAATGAGCTACAACTGTAACCGCCCCAATTTTCCGGCCAATGACATGATTTAAGGTGGAGCTTGTACAAGTGGGAGGATCATGAGTAATATTGCGTTTCCAATTGTATTACGTCTGATATATTTATTTAACACCAACCGAATAATTTGACAAGCGGTAGAATTTAAGAATTGACTCAAATTTATCCGAAAATAAAACACCAAGACACCTAAAATTAATTGCGAACATTTTATTCATTTAGTTCACTTGAGATTTTTTCGAATAACAATCACTTTTTAGTGATTTCAATACTATTCAATTACTATTGTAAAAATTTAGAGTTGACGTCATTCCATGACGTCATGGTGGGGATAAGCAGACAAATTTTGGTTAGCGTTTTACCATCTACATGATATTCCTAACATACATACAAAATTTGACAACAATCGGAACAATAATCGGTTAGACGGCTGAAACGAGAGAACTATTGAAAAAAAAAACATTGAAGTAGCCAGTCGCATGAACTCGATTACAACACTTCCTTAGCTTAAGCTCGGGAAGTAAAAATCATTGCAAAAATAAAACCAGAAGTACTTAATTCGTCTAAAAAAATATTGTTTTATTTTCCAGGTACCAGCAAGATCGTGCGCGACGACAAAAGCTTCAACGCCCTCAAAATGTCTCCAAGTTCCATGTCGCGCGAAAACTCCCAAGCCAGTATTACACACACGAAACCCGCCGTCGCCTTGGTCTCCCCCATGAAAAGCGAAAAGGAGAACCAACTCTCCGAAAGCAGCCACAGTGCTTCCACCGGCCAGCACAGCAACTCCAGCGAAAGCAGCGTCATCTACAAACCCTCAAGCGAAAGCGGATCCGAGCACCACAACGTCATTCCCAACCGGAAGGAACCGATCACGTACATATCAGAAGCAGCGGAAGAAACGGAACTACCGGAATCGAAGGAGAAGATCCTCAATAACGCGAACCAAGAAGAGAAGAGTTTGAACGACGAGGGTTTCGTGAGGGAGGGTTCACAAGGCGACGAAGAAACTCCTCCTTTGAGTATAGAGCCGATGAGGCCGCTGTTGAGGGGGTATTGCAGTACCTTGACGCTCCCGTCGAGGCAGAGGCAGTACCAGAGAGTACCCGCGGACCCGGCGAACGACTACTGCGAGATTTCTTTGGCTAATGGGTATCTGTCTGATGGGGAGATGCTGAGGAACGGACCGACGAGGGACATCTCCGATGGGTATATGTCCGAAGGGGGATCAGTGTTGTACGCGAGGAGGTTGCAGACCATGCCGGCCCATATTCCAAACGGGTGAGTTTTCTAGTAGCATTGTTTAAGTATATTATAGTTGGACAACCTATACGGACAATCACTTTCCCATGTAGAAAAGAATGAATATATATTTTACATCTCACTCGCTTCACTATGAAGTGGCGGTACCTTACGAAAGGGGGTAAAAATAGTCCGTAAGCACGTGATGTCGATAAGGTAGTAAACGGACGTATTAATCAGTACGTTGTACGGGGAGCAGTCACAAAATAAGCAAACGTACGTTTTGAAGACTTTACATATATGTAATATATGTATATGTAGTGCATATCTGTTTTAAGGTTAAGGTTTTTTAGGTACAAATTTAATATTATTGCGGTATACCTATTTTCCATGAACTGCATGGCTAACAAATATGCGTCCCTTCGTCCACTTTAAAGGTACGAAATTAAACGACCACTACTTTAATTAATAAGTAACAAGTCATCTAATTTGCCTCCAGAATAACTATGGATTATCATCAAACTATGAACACCAAATTAATTCAATATGAACATCTTTTTACGTATTTTTTTTATTAACAGAAGTCAAATCATTATATACATATTATCTTTGAAACTAAAATGCATTTTATCCTAAGATTGTATCACAAAATATTCATCACCATTTAAATATATACGATTTAGACATCAAGAAATAAATTTAAAATTGCAAAAATTATACTAAAACAGCCTTAAATGTGTCTTGTATGTACGTGCTTATCAGTATGTAGGCATTTTAACGCACAGCAATAATCGTTCTTGATGAGTAATGAGTAATGACTGATGACTATTCTACTGTAACACAGTAAATCCTCGAAATCGAAAATTTAAAACACTGAAAAATTCAAATATGGGAAAATTGTAAAATCGAGAAATCGAAACATAAAAAAATCAAAAAAATTAAAATTGGAAAATCTAAAATTTAAAAATCGAGAAATTGAACAATCTGTTAATTCAAAAATTGAAACATCGAAAAATTGGAAAATCGAAAAATAAAAAAAAATTGGACAATCGAAAATTTAAAAATTCCGAAAATTGAAAAATTCAAATATAGAAGAACTGAAAACTCAAAAAATCGAAAAAAATTAATAATTTAAAAATTGATAAGTTAAAATTGAGAAATCGAAAAACTGAAAAATCACAAAATTGAACGAAATATCAAAAAATTAGGAAATTAAAAAATCGAGAAACAAAAAAGTCAAAAAAGCAGAGTCTAAAAATCGCAAACTTAAAAAATCGAAAAATTGAAAAATCAAAATCCTGAATAATCGAAAAATTGAAGAACTGAAGAACTGAAAAATCGAAACTTTAGGAAGTGGAGAAATGGGATTATAAAAAAATAGATTAATTGAGAAATCCGAAAACTAAAAATTCAGAAACGTCAAAATTTGAAAAATAAAAAAATACTGAAGAACTGAAAAATCGAAAAATCTAAAATTTAAAACATTGAAAAGTTAAAATATCCTAAAACTGAAAAATGGAGAAATCCAAACATCAAAAAATCAAAAAAAAAAATCTAAAATTTAATAATCGAAAAACTGAAGAATCAACGAATCGAGGAGTCGAGAATTTAAAAAATTGGACAATTGAAAAATCGGATAAATCAAAAATCGAAACATCGAAAAATCGAGAAACCGAAAAGCAGAAAATCGAAAAACCAACAAATCGAAAAATCGGAACATTGTAAAATTCAAAAATTGAGACATCGAGAAATCGAAAAATCAAAAGACAAAAAATCGAGGAGTCGAAAAATCGAGAAGTCGAAAAATCAAAAAATTGAGAAACCGAAATAGGCCAAAATCGAAAAATCGAAAACTTAAATATGGAAAAATTGATAAAGCGAGAGATTGAATAATCAAAACATCGAAACATCTGAATCTCAATGAATTGAGATCTCAAAAAATTTAAACATTCGTAAATTTAAAAAATTAAAATATAGAACTGGAAACTCGAGAAACTGAAAAATCTAGAAATTTAAAAATTAAAATATGAAAAAGTTGAAAAATTGAGAAATTGAAATAAAAAACAAAAAACTGAAAATCCAAAAATAAAAAATAGAAAAATTTAGAAGTCGAAAAATGAAAGAATCGAAGTATTGAAAAATATCAAAACTGAAAGAAATATCCAAAAATTTAGAAATCGACAAACCAATAAAGCGAAGTCGAAAAATTGAAGAATTGAAGAACTGAAAAATCGAAACTTTGAGAAGTGGGAAAATCAAAAATAGATTAATTGAGAAATCAGAAAACTGAAAATTTAACGCAAAAATTTGAAAAATTCAAAAATTTAAATACTGAAGAACTGAAAAGTCAAAAAATCGAGAAATCGAAAAAACTAAAATTTAAAACAATGAATAATTAAAATATCGCAAAATTGAAGAATCGAGAAATCCAATTCAATTTGAAAAATTGAAAAATCGGGGCATTGAAAAATTGGAAAATCCAGAAATTGAAAAGCTCAAAAGAAAAAAATCGAAAAACTGAGAAATCCAAAAATCTAAACATCGAAAAATTCAAAAACTGAGACTGCGAGAAATCGAAAAATCGGAGGATCGAGAAATTGAGGAGTCGGAAGCCGAAAAGGAACGTTAAAAATTGAAAAAATGAGAAATTGAACAATCAAAACAACGAAACATCTGAATTCGATAAATTTTAAAAAAGAAAAACTGGAAAATCAAAAATTAAAATTCAAAAAATCGAAAAATTGAAAAATTGAAATATAGAAGAACTGAAAACTCGAGATATCGAAAAACCTAGAATTTTAAAAAATGAAATATTAAAACATCGAAAGTTTACAATAAATTGAAAATCCAAAAAGGAAAAAGCGAGAAATCAAAAAAAATCCATCAATTCAAAAATCGAAAAGTCGAAAAATTGAAATATTGAAAAATCTCATAACTGAAAGAAATATTCAAAAAATTGAGAAATTAAAAAATTGGAAAATTGAGAAATCGAAAATCTTAAAAAATCGAAAAATTGAGGAATTGAAGATGTGAAAAATCGAAACTTTAGGAAATCCAGAAATGGACAAATAAAAAAAATACTTTAGAAATCGGCAAACTGAAAATTTAGAAAGGTGAAAATTTGAAAAATTGAAAAATCGACATATTTAAAAACCGTAAAATTGAAGAGGACAAAAATTGAGAAATCGTATCATTGAAACATCGTAAGATTGAGAAATCGAAAAATAAAAAAATCGAGAAATAGAAAATTTAAGGAATGGAGGAATCGGAAAAGCCCAAAATTGAAATATTGAAAAATTGAGACATTTAAAGTTGAAAAATCGAGAAATCGACAAGCCGAAAAATCCCAATAGCGTATTTCGGTATAAATCACAAGATCGGGACTATTCTACTTTTTAAAATTTAAATAACATTATAAATTGGAAAATGTTGATTTTTTTTTCAAAAATCTTGACGTCTAAGGTGAAAACTCGACACGGATGCATAAACCGTAAACGGGGCGAAACGACAATTTTACTATTGTAAAATTTGGAGATTGCGTCATTTCATTGTTCGTGACAAATTTTGGAGAGTGTAATTTGATAATACAATTTGAAATGTAAATTTTGTCATTCGGGAACATTTTGTATTAAATCGTTAAGATGTTCAAGAACTTTATTCACTTATTCGTTGTAAAGTCCAATGGTCGAAATGGGTTAGTTCTTCGTAGTGGTTGTGTATCAGATCAACTCTAACGAATATCGGCTTATAGATAAATTGCTTAAAGCCGATATTGGGCTGAGTGTGCTTTGGTTTGTAGATCAAACAAGTTCTCATATTTGGGAGAGATGGATTTTCAGGTGCTTGACTAGCGGTAATTTTAAATTGTTTGCTGTCTTTCGCGAAGTGAAGAACACAATTTCATTAAAATGATAATATAAAATTATCATAATCACTATTGGTGTTAATTAACACAAAATGGCGCGCAAGTTATCAGTTGATTTCGTTAATAAATTCATAGAAACCTAAATGGGATTTTTTCATGCCTTAGAAAATTAAAAAGTAAAAAATACAATAACAAAAATTTTAAAATGCGGTTTACGAAAAATTAGTTGACCTGTGCAAAGAAGAAAATTTTGGAAACGCTGACAAATATGACATCTTAAAAAAAATAACACTTGAAGAAGTGCTTTCGGCGTAATATTTTTAATGCTCGCGTGAACAAAATACTCTATGTCAGTGTGCAGTGCGCAAAGAGTTAACTGTGCAGATCTAGCCGAAAATCCGAAAACCAAATCGCTGTGTGTAGGGCCAACATAACGGAAGTAATAAATCATCCCATCGGTTGAAGAACGTTGGGTCGGTGCACTGATGTCGGTGTTATATCCCGAGAGGGGCCCAATACACCCAATAAAATGGAACAGACAAAATAAAGCTTCAAACATGATTATTTTTTTACTAAAATTCTGAAGTTTAAAAACTGCACATTTTATTTATTTATTTATTTATTTTATCTTGTTTTCGAACTATAATAAACATTTCAAACAATGTCTGTAACTTATTTTAACGTAAATTATATTCATGTGGTTAACAAAATCAGATGTAATATTAGTGTGATTTTGACCTTATTCTAGATTTTATTACAGCAGAACGGCGTATCCTTTTTAAATTTTAGAAGTTACGGAAACTAGTTCAAGAAACAATTAGTTATCTCGTATTTTTGGAACAAAATCTACCAAAATGTCCGATAACAGCAATTGTTTTTCATAGAAACAAACAGTCTTCAAAGCAGCCTTTAACAACTCGATATTACAAACATGCCTCTTAAGTTCTTTATGCGTTTTTTTCTCTCTTGTAATTATTTGTAATTTAACGCCGAAAGTTTATGTCATTCTGTTATTTACTTTGAACATATATTTTCATTTTGTGTTAATATTTTTGTAACACCACGAATCTAAATTTTACTTAAAATCATGTTTTACTTTAATCTTGTAAAACTAAACAATTATACCAGTTTAAAAACCCTTGGAAAGTTTCTGTCAGTCTTCAGATATAGTCAA